GACATGACTTCTGGGTTCAAAAACCTTTCACAATTGTCAGAAATTTAAACTTACTGTAATTAAAACCATTAGCATGTGATATATCAGATTTGAGGGTAGGTAAGGTTACAGGTACATAATGTTTTCAAGAGCTGTGCAGTCAGTCTGGTACATTTCTTGTGAACTGCAGTATTTTCGGAAACTGTTAGTTGTTCAGTTTATTATTAAAAGTAGTATTTTCCATAAGTTATTATCCATAACACTATTCTGAACCTCCCCTTACCTTTATACTCAATGAAATTGTTGTTGTGTTCTTTTCTTTAAATTCATGCCAGTGCTTGAAGAAAGGTGGCGAGGAGAGGGCCAGAATTTCACAAGCTGTGAAAAATTACAAGGTAACTGTTCGTGTAGTTCTAATAAGGATGGGACGCCTGTTACAAAATAAAACTTTGAAAAACCTTAACATCTCGTTTTTAATAGTGGGTTAACATCGTTTAGAATTTGTGATGTTCTTGTAGGAGGTGTCCTTGTGGTTATTAACGTTTATTTACTAGACTACGAGTAGTCCCCCATTTTTCTACCCCACGCGAGAAAAGGCGACACGCGGCGGGGAGAGCGTGTCGCCTTTTCTCGCGTGGGGTGATTTTCACGCGCGCTCGCGTTTCGCTCGCTCTACTATCCCTGAGGAAAAATGGGGGACTACTCGTAGTTTATTTATTTAATTACCGTTTTTAGCACTTTTCGATGGAACTAGTAAGCAGCGGTCTTTATGACACACAGAACGACTTAGCGGTGGTTATTCAACCTGCTTTTCAACTGCCTCCGAAAACTAAGGTACGGGAAGCTGCTCTTTTGCTATTTAATTAGTTTTCCGTTTTCTGAGTGTTCATAGATAACGTTGTCAGAAAATAACTTATGATTGTTGCCCTGATGTCGCTCATGTAGTTTATTGACATTTCTGGTAGTAAGCGGAGCTTGTTGAGCATGATCTTGGGAAAAGGCCGAGGGCTGCTCTTTTGGCTTTGTTTTTCACACATCTCTATACCCAACTAAAGATCCTGTTCACGGATTAAGACGGACTTTATAGAACTTTATCACTCTCGTAGCCAGCGTCTATGAAAATGTCTTGGAATAAAAAAAGCTTTTACGTAAGAAAGGAGTTTAACTCCCACAGGCTCTGTTTGGAAGACCAACATGGCCGCCGTTTCATTGTTTTTGAGACACCAATATGGCCGCCATGACGTCATGTGAAAAAGCTATATGGTTCAAGTATCTTGTACCAGCGCGGGAGCGGGACTTTAAATACCTTCTTTTTGATACTCCCCTCCCCCCAAGTAAAGCCCTCTTTAAACCATAGTCTCTTCTTTAAAAGGGCATTTATGTGGCTTCCCACGGGTCCACCAGGGCTCGTTATCATCCAGCAAAGCCAGAAGTTTTGAATCATTATCTTTACCTTTTCTTCTTGCAGGATGGCAAGTTAGTGGAGGAATTCTTTGGCGTAGACTGTCGGCACTTTTCAGCACAGGGCCATGCAGCAGCAGCTCTAGCCTTATGGAGAAACATGGTATTGTATTATCTAATAACCACGCCTATGCTCTTTTCTGTCCATGCTTTCCTCTTTCTTTACTTTCTTTTATAGAGATAGAAGTTCTACAAGTAGGATTATTTTAGAATTTGATGTCTTAAAAGCGTTAAGTGTGGAAGGGAGTTTACTTATAGGCTGTGGGGTCAAGCTTCCTCCCGAAACATGTTTAGAACACGTAACATGTTCATGTATCCATTGTTTGTAGTTGGAGCCATTTGGTTCGAAAACAAAAGGCTGGGGAGATCAAGAAAATCTCAAGTGTCCCACAAAGGTTTGTATCAAATCTGTACCAGATTTTTTAATTGACTTAATTCATGTCCAAAACAAATGGTCTTGTCTCAATGTAGTTTATCAGGTAAAAGTCAGAGTAACTGTTCATTCTGATTATATTTTTTAATGTAGCCGTTTACCGCTTCTCTAGAGCAGGTAAACGCCTTTTTATAAAAGCTGGCACTTCCACTGTTTATGTTAAGTAAAAAGTACTTACATCTCTGTAATGCGGACACTTGGCTCTGTCCATGGCGTAGGGCTGACTATTACTTTGTAACTTTATGTTTTCAGGAAAACCCATACTTATTCACCAAAACAAACAGTAACACAGTTATCAGTGAACTGATCAGTGACGATGACCAGGACTCTGCCTCAGATGACTTCCCTCCTGCCGCCGCTGTAGCGTTAGCTGTGTGTTTAACAGCTGTAGTGGTGATTGTCGTTGTTTTTGTGTGGAGAACCCGAAGTCAAGACGAAGACCAGAGGCAAGAAAACTTCTCTATGCTTCCGGACCACACAAACCAAGGATTTGAGTTACGGGCGCGCTAATGTAGAAATTGTCTTTTAACCTCCCCAGAGCGCTGTTTTTGGTTCAAGCTCTCTTACATCTTCAGCCCTCGTGGAAGAAAACGTTGGGAAGAGAAGGGGAAGGTGTTGAATTGAGCGGCTCGCGCTTCTGGTACCCACTCGCTTCTCCCGCTCCGTGTTTTCTCCATACTTCTCACACATCTACAACGCCACCTGAGTGAGAACTCCGTTAAATAATAAGGCTTAATTACCTCGGCACATACGGTGTATCAGAACTCAGTCCAAGTGTCTGCCATTTCTATAAATTAACGGTGATGTCAAACGATAAGATTCTCGCTTTTAAATGCGCAGGGAGACGGGACGGTTAGTTATCCTTTCCTCAATTTCAACTTGAAAAAAATCAAGCGCAGATTCAAATAAATTAGCTTGACAGGATTGAATTTCCTCTGGAACAGTACCTCAAACCTACGTTTGACAAAGCCGACCATTTCAGAACATTCCGATTGCGCATCGTCTTCTCAGTCAAGAAGGCGGGAAGCGTCCTCGAAAGCCGCGATTCGCACAGTTCACGTGTCCTGAAGGTCACCTGACACTCCCAACCTGGTTCCCGGGGCTTTTCCCTTCCCGTCCTTTCCATTTTGTATGGGAAAAAGCCCTGGGAACGAGGTTGCTGACACTCCCTTTGGGCCCAAAATGTCTTAAGACTTTTCAATGGCTATTCTTTAAGAGGAGACACTACCTTGACGATGAAAAAAGGGAACAGTTTTTGACCCTAAAAAGACGGTAACGGCCGCTAAGTACATGCGGCCGCTAATCCCTGTATAACAAGGATAGGTCCTTTCGGTATCTACTCATCTTGTCATCAGCCCTATTTATTGTAAGACTAGCCTTGCGAATAATCAGTAAATCCTGTGTTCTGATTGGCTAACCTGTGTTTAACGACTTGTAAGGGGAAACTAGTAAGTGCTTCAAAAAAATAATAAGGCTTTTGTCTTCTTTGAACGCTTTTATTCGTTACCATTTTTACTTCTTACTACCAAACAATTCTTTCCGATCAACGACTAAACTTGTCACCTCCTTCAATTTTGTATTGACTAGAAAACCCACCTGCTTTTAGAAAATCAATCCTTACGTAGGTCCTCTGCGATCGGTCAAAACAGACTCAATTGCATTTAACTTTCGAATTGCTTAGTTAACTCTTCAAAGCGCTTTTCTTTCTTTAATTTCGCCGTAAAGCTTGGCTTGTCCAGTCCATATAAAACAAGGAGGGCATTACAAAAATTACCAAACATTTGCTTGAACGGGAAATTTTTGCAACAGAAAAGCGCTAAAATTATAATTGAAACTATGAAAACTAGTCGATGAACAGAGGACTTGGCCTCCATAACAGACGCTTTATGAGCCAAGCGAGGCGAACGCTGCATTTTGCCCGAAGCGGGAGACGAGTTTCTCCTCCCCTCATCTCGCGATTCGCGCTTTTCTGGCGTTTGGCGTAAAATGCCATGTTAGACTCGCCTCTCTCATAAAGCGCCTGTTATGCAGGCTACAGAGGACGTCAAGCTTCCTAATCGAAAATGATTAAAAAAACATTTTTAAGACCGCC